TGGATCACGAGGTCAAGAGATCGAGACCATCCTGGTCAACATGGTGAAACCCCATCTCTACTAAAAATACAAAAAATTAGCTGGGCATGGTGGCGCGTGCCTGTAATCCCAGCTACTCAGGAGGCTGAGGCAGGAGAATTGCCTGAATCCAGGAGGCGGAGGTTGCAGTGAGCCGAGATCACGCCATTGCACTCCAGCCTGGGTAACAAGAGCGAAACTCCATCTCAAAAAAAAAAAAAAAAAAAAAAATTGAAATGAACTTTTCTTTTTCTGAGACAGGGCCTCACTCTGTTGCCCAGGCTGGAGTGCAGTGGTACAATCATGGTTCACTGAAGCCTCGACCTCTCACCACCAGGCCTGGCCCCAAACCTGTAATCTTGAAATAAATTAGCGTGGCTTTCTCTCCTTCTTTCTGACATGTCTGTTAACCCCTGTGGCAGTCCAAACACCAAAACTCTCATTCTGGGTTAGAGAATTTTAATTTAGGACGGGCACAGTGGCTCATGCTAGTACTCCCAACATTTGGAAGGCTGAGGTGGGTAGATCACTTGAGTCCAGGAGTTTGAGGCCAGCCTGGACAACATAGCAAAACCCTTTTCTCACTGGGTACGGTGAGTCACACCTGTAATCCCAGCACTTTGGGAGGCCAAGGTGGGCAGATCACTTGAGGTCAGGAGTTTGTGACCAGCTTGGCCAACATCGTGAAATCCTATCTCTACTAAAAATACAAAATTAGCTGTGCATGGTGGCACATGCCTATAATCCCAGTTACTCTGGAGGCTGAGGCAAGAAAATAGCTTCAACCTTGAAGGCAGAGGTTCAAGTCAGCCCAGATTGCACCACAGCACTCCAGCCTGGGAGGTAGAGTGAGACTTTGTCTCAAAAAAAAAAAAAAAGATAACCCGTTTCTACAAAAAATACAAAAATTAGCTGGGTCTGGTAATGTGTGCATGTAGTCTCAGCTACAGGGGAGGCTGAGGTGGGAGGATTGTTTGAGCCCAGGAGGTCAAGGCTGCAGTGGGCCATGTTCATGCCACTGCACGCCAGCCTGGGCAACAGTGATAACCTGTTTCAAAAACAAACAAACAAATTTTAATTAAACAAACAAACAAATAAAACCTTTACAACCCATCACCACCACTCTTTTGGCTTCGGGACTGTCCTTTTGTTTATCTATGGAGTAAGTTTTCACATATTCATACTTTTGGCTATGTGAACTGTGGTATTTAGCTAGCCCATAATTCAAGTGTTTAAATAAATGCTTAAGAGCATTTATTAAAATTACAAATTCATAGTCAATGCAGTGGCTCATGCCTGTAATCCAGCACTTTGGGAAGCTGAGGCAGGCGGATCATGGAGTCAGATCGAGACCATCCTGGCTAACACGGTGAAACCAGTCTCTACTAAAAATACAAAAAATTAGCCGGGCATGGTGGCACGCACCTGTAGTACCGGCTACTAGGGAGGTTGGGGCAGGAGAATCACTTGAACCCAAGTTCAAGTGCAGAGGTTGCAGCAAGCCTGTCAAAAAAAAAAAAAAAAAAAAAACAACTGTCCAAAAGGAAAAAAAAATTGAAGCTGCCCTTGTACATGTCACTTCCTATACAAAAATTAACTCAAAATGGATCAAAAACCTAAACGTCAAAGCTACATGTGTAAAATGCTTAGAAAAAACTGTAGGCATCGGGGTGTAGTGGCTCATGCCTGTAATCCCAGCACTTTGGGAGGATGAGACAGGTGGATCACCTGAAGTCAGGAGTTCGAGACCAGGCTGGCCAACATGGTGAAACCCTGTTTCTACTAAAAATATAAAAATTAGCTGGGTGTTATGACACATACCTATAATTCCAGCTATTTGCGAGGCTGCAATGGAAGAATTGCTTGAGGAGGTGGAGGTTGCAGTGAACCAAGATCACACCACTGCATTCCAGCCTGGGCAACAGAGTAAGGCTCTGTCTCCAAAAACAACAACAACAACAACAACAACAACAAAACCCACAGGCAGAAATTGACACTTCTGGATTATACAATGGTGTCTTAGATATGACACCAAAAGCACGAGCAACCAAAGAAAAAACAGACAAATGGAACATTGCCAAAATGAAAAACCTTTGTGCTTAAAAGGACACCATCAAGAAAGTGAAAAAAACCACCCACAGGATGGGAGAAAACTTTTCTAAATCATATCTGATAAGGGTCTAATATTTAGAATGTATAAAGAACAATTGCAATTCAACAAAAAGACAAGCCATGTAAAAACTGAGCAAATGATTTAAATGAACATTTCTCCAAAGATATATACATAGGCAATATCTACATGAAAAGATGCTCAACACTGGCCAGATGTAGTGGCTCATGCCTGTAATCCCAGCACTTTGGGAGGCTGAATTGGGCAGATCACTTGAGGTCAGAAATTCAAGACCAGCCTGGCCAACATGGTGAAACCCCAACTCTACTAAAAATTCAAAAATTAGCTGGGCGTGGTGGCATGGACAATTACTTGAACCTGGGAGGCAAAGGTTGCAGTGAGCTGAGATCTAGCCATTGTACTTCAGCCTGGGTGACAGGACAAGACTTGGAGAAAAAAAAAAAAGACGTTCAACATTATTAGTCATTAGAGAAACAAATCAAAAACACAAAACCCACAATGAGGTTCCATTTCACACCCACTAGTATAGCAAAAAATAAGTGCTGGTGAGGATGTGGGGAAATGAGATCCTAGATTGTTGGTGGGAATGTAAAATAATGCAGCTGCTACAGAAGAGTCTGGCAGTTCTTAGACAAGTTAAACAGTTACCCTATGACTCACCAATTCCATTCCTAGGTATATACCAAAAGAAAAATTTAAGTACACACAAAAATTTGTACATGAATGTTCTTGGCAATACTGTTCTTAAGTAAAAAAATGGAAGTAACTTCAATGTCTGTCAATTGAAAAATGGATAAACAAATTGTGGTGCATCCACATAATAGAATATTATTTGGCCACAAAAAAAGAATGCAGTTCTGATCATTGCTACAATATGGTGAACGTGTTTCTGTTTATACTAAGTGGAAGAAACCAGAAACAATAGGACAAACATTGTCTTTCTTCACTTATATGAGGTATCTAGAATGAACAAATTCAGACAGAAAGTAAATCAGAGATTACTAGAGGCTGGAGGTTATAATTACCAGAGACTTAAATGTTATCGTTTCCATTTTGTGTAATTAAAAAGCTTTGACCCTTCCCTTCCCTTTTTCAAAGAAAACAACAAAAACTTTTAAAAATAGTGGTGATGGTTGTACAATATGGTATATGAAATTAAAGGGCTGAATTGTACAATTTAAAAAATGGGTAATATGGTGGTAAATATTATATATATTTTATTGCATACATATACACAGCAACAAAAAAAGAAAAAGAGAAAAGAAGGCTCTGATATCCTTTTTTTCTTTGTTTGAGATGAAGAGTCACTCTGTTGTGAGGCTGGAGTGCAGTGGCATGATCTCGGCTCACTGCAACCTCTGCCTCCCAGGTTCAAGCAATTCTGCCTCAGCCTCTCAAGTAGCTGGGACTATGGGCACAAGCCACCACACTTGGCTAATTTTTGTATATTTAGTAGAGATGGGGTTTCACCATGTTGGTCAGGCTGGTCTCGATCTCTTGATCTGCCCACTTTGGCCTCCCAAAGTGCTGGGATTACAGGCGTCAGCTGCCATGCCCGGCCCTGATGTATGCTTTACCATGGATGAACTCAGAAAATGTTATGTGAAAGAAAATGGACATAAAGGCCACATGTTGCATAAAAAATTAAATTTACATGAATTATCCAGAATAAGCAAATCCACAGAAAGAGACAATAGATTAATACTGGAAAAAGGGGTGGGAGGGACAGGGGCTTAGGGAGGAATGTGGGGTAGGGTGACTGCTAGAGAGCAGGTACTGGAGTGATGAAAATGCTCTGGAATTAGTGGTGATGGTTGCATAACTTTATATATATACTAAAAAAAGTTAACTGTACACTTTATTTTTATTTTTTGAGATGGAGTTTCACTGTTATTACCCAGACTGGAGTGCAATGGCACGATCTCGGCTTACTATAACCTCTGCCTCCTGGGTTCAAGCAATTCTCTGACCTAAGCCTCCTGAGTAGCTGGGATCACAGGCATGTGCCACCATGCCCAGCTAATTTTTTTGTATTTTTAGTAGAGACGGGGTTTCACCTTGTTGACCAGAATTGTTTTGATCTCTTGACCTTGTGATCCACCCGCCTCGGCCTCCTAAAGTGCTGGGATAACAGGCTTGAGCCACCGTGCCTGGCCAGCTGTACACTTTAAAAGGGTATTATGGAATGTGAATTTTATCTCAAAACGAATTGTAAGTGAATGTCAAAGGCAGGCAATAAAGTTTTTCTGACATGGAATGTTAGAAATTTCTTTATTATTATGTATTCTTATTAAGCGCCAGCTTAATACTGCAGAAAATTTCAAATCACCCTTGATAACACACTTTCTTTTCTCCTACCCAAATTCTTGATCAAGAGTTTCTCAAGTAAAGACATGCTCTTCTCTCTTCTGTATAAAACTTTATGAAATAAAGGCAAAAGATTGTGTATATCTTGCTGGAAAATGCTGCCCAGGAATCTGGAGATGGTGGCTGCCCGAGCTCCCTTCACTGTCCAGGTCCTGAAAGACTCTTGTTCATGAACTGTCTCTTCACAAAGCAAGTCCACCACTAACAAGAGGAGACAACACAGAATGAATAGTGGGGGTCAAATCACAATAGGGTCCACATTTACTTAATAATGAAATTTTATATTAGTCTGGAATCTCTTATAAACTCTTTGAAGGCACATGTAAAACTTTCTTTTCTAGACTCACAGGTCACTCAAAATTATGACAAAGTAATTTAATACATCAAAAATATCTCACACAAAAAAACCTGTTCTATGGATTTACAATGCACAAAATAAGAACACAACTAAAATGTTATTATATGCATTTTTTTTTTTTTTTAGATACAGTCTTACTCTGTTGCCCAGGCTGAAGTACAATGGCATGATTTTGGTTCACTGCAACCTCCACCTCCTGGGTTCAAGCAATTCTCCTGCCTGAGCCTCTTGAGCAGCTGGGAGCACAGGTAAGCGCCACCATGCCTTATAATAAGTGCCAATAATTTTTGGTATTTTCTTTTTTTTTTGAGACAGAGTTTTGTTCTGTTGCCAGATGCCAGGCTGGATGGAGTGCAAGGGCGCGATCTTGGCTCACTGCAACCTCCGATTCCTGGGTTCAAGTAAGTCTCCTGCCTCAGCCTCCCGAGTAGCTGGGACTATAGGTGTGCACCCACCATGCCTAGCTAATTGTATTTTTCAGTAGAGACAGGGTTTCACCATGTTGGCCAGGATGATCTCGAACTCCTGACCTCAGGATCCACCCACGTTGGCCTCCCAAAGTGCTGGGATTACAGGCGTGAGCCACTGCGCCTGGCCAATTTTTGGTATTTTCAGTAGAGATGGGGTTTCACCATGTTGGCCAGGCTGATCTTGAACTCCTGACCTCAAGTGATCCACCCACCTCGGCCTCCCGAAGTGCTGGGATTACAGGCGTGAGCCACTGCACCCGGCCTGCAATTCATTATTTAGTGTGATTCAGTGAACTTACATTACATACTAGACATATACTCAAAGTTAAGCAACACTGCAATGCAGAAACTAAAAGTATTCTTGCAATGGAAGACCTTAAAGTGTGTTCAATGGTGGCTACAGGATAAAAGGTAATTTACCAATTAAGCAGGCAATGAAGACGAGCTTACCTTGCTGGGTTTATCATTCTGAGGGTCGAAAACTTTCTCACAAAGTCTCAGTCCAGTCTCTTGCCTTAGCTGTTGTAAATAGGCTCTCATCACTTCTAAAACAGAACAATTTTAAAAAACTGTATTTGCAAACACATCCCAAATGTACTGGTTGCAGGTCTGCATTCTTGCTGTGGCAATACATTTTTATACATTTGAACAGGATACAAAATAGAAATGACATTCCAAATGGTTTTATAACAACATTTGTTTTGGTTCAAAAGATTTTCTGCATGTCATCCTTGTTGCTGAGAATCACTTGTGAAAGTGACTAATAAGATAATGTACTTCCTATGATTTCACTCTCCATCTGTACATGAATCAAGGCAAGAAAAGGAGGGGTGGTAGGAAGTCAAATAGAGAAAATCTTCCTGCGCCATTGAGAGAGGATGGAAACCTGTTCTTACCATCTTCCTGTTTGTTTGCAGGTTTGGCGTAAATCGCATTAAGTGGAAAACCAGGCTCTCCAGGAATGGGAAAATTAGTGATTCCCAGTGTATACATTTCTTTCTCACCTTGGCTTTTGGAATTGCACTAAAAAAAAAAAAATATATATATATATATATATATATACACACACACACACACACACACACACACACACAATTTTATAGGGAAAAGAAGAATTTTACCCTTGGACTCCAGGTTAAGAACCCTTGAGCCAAGGGCTTAAAGGAATTTCTCTGTCAAGATTTCTGTTCAAATATATTTCTGGCTCTGCCACCCAGGCTAGAGTGCAGTGGCGCAATCTCGGCTCACTGTAACCTTCACCTCTCGGGTTCAAGCGATTCTACTGCCTTAGCCTTCCAAGTAGCTAGCTGGGATTACAAGTGCCCACCACCACGCCCAGCTAATTTTTATATTTTTAGTAGAGACGGGGTTTCACTGTGTTGGCCAGGCTGCTCTTGAACTCCTGACCTCATGATCCTCCCACCTCGGCCTCCAAAAGGGCTGGGATTACAGGTGTGAGCCACTTCGCTTGGCTTTTTTTTTTGTTTTGAGACAGTCTTGCTCTGTCACCAGGCACCAGGCTGGAGTGCAGTGGCGTGATCTTGGGTCACTGCAATCTCCACCTCCCGGGTTCAAGCAATTCTCCTGCCTCAGCCTCCGGAGTAGCTGGGACTACAGGCATGTGCCACCACGCCCAGCTAATTTTTGTATTTTAGTAGAGATGGGGTTTCACCATGTTGGCCAGGATGGTCTCAATCTCTTGACTTTGTGATCTGCCCGCCTTGGCCTCCCAAAGTGCTGGGATTATAGGCATGAACCACCTATATTCAAATTTTTATCTTTGTGTCAGTCAATTTCACTACAAGTTCAGAGAACTAAATTCAAATTTTTCTCTTAAATCCATGCTGTAAGTCAGAGGAAATATTTTTTACTTGTCTTTAAAGTCTCAACAAATTCCAGATGACTGGGAGGGTAAATGCCTCTCAACAATTTGTTTTCCTGATATATAATCATCCAAGTTTAATTACCTTTTGGAGTTTCTTCAGACACTCAGAAATGTAGAGAGTTATATATATCAAGGTCCTATCAGCTTCATTCTACAGGGAGAAAAAGACAACTTACAGTTATCAAAACATAACAATCATGTGCAATGAATGAATTCCATCTTTGTCTTTTGATTATCTACTAAATGTGGTGGTAGGATATCCACTATCACATCAAAATTCCCTTTCTCCAAATGCACAGTCCAGTCAGTCTCCTTTTCCATCTGCCCTTGGGAGGGAGGCACAAGCCCCACCCTGAGCTGTGTGGCTGCTCTTTTGTTTTTTTGAGACAGAGTCTTACTCTTTTGCCCAGGCTGGAGTGCAGTGGCACAATCTCAGCTCACTGCAACCTTTACCTCCTGGGTTCAAGGGTTTCTCCTGTCTCAGCCACCTGAGCAGCTGGGATTACAGGCATGTGCCACCATGCCTGGCTAATTTTTGTATTCTTAGTAGAGACAGCGTTTCACCATTTTGGCCAGGCTGGTCTTGAACTCCAGACCTCAAGTGATCTGCCCACCTTAGTCTCCCAAAATGCTGGATTTACAGGCATGAACCACCATGCCTGGCTGTGCAGCTGTTCTCTCTTGTTTTTCTTGGCTCCCCTTGCCCCAGGGCTCCCAAGGGTCTGTGTCAGCAGCCCCTCACTGTCTAGGAAGGAGAAGCATCACAGCTGCCTGGAAAGTCTGAGCTGCTCCATATGGTTGGCTAATTTTTTTTTCTTTTTTTTAGATGGAGTCTCACTCTGTGGCCCAGGACGGAGTGCAATGGCACGATCTCAGCTCACTGCAACTTCTGCCTCCCGGATTCAAGCTATTCTCCTGCCTCAGCCTCCCGAGTAGCTAGAACTCCATGTGCGTGCTACCATGCCCAGTTAATTTTTATATTTTTAGTAGAGAAGGGGTTTCACCATGTTGGCCAGGATGATCTTGTGATCTGCCCCGCCGGCCTCCCAAAGTGCTGAGATTATAGGTGTGAGCCACCTCGCCCAGCCGACTGGCTAATTTTTAAAAACCCTTTCACTTCAGGGTCTCTGCCAAGAACAGAAACAGTCATTATTCTAAAGGAGGAAGCAAGTATTTCACATTTGACTTGCTCCCAAAGAACTCCATAATCTCAATGTCTTGACTCAACCAAAAGGAAAATGTGGAGAAGACAAATGAATATTAATCAAATGTGGCATGGACTTTGGGTCAAATTTTACACATATTTAGGCCAGGTGCACTGGCTTATGCCTATAATCCCAGCACTTTGGGAGGCTGAGATGGATGGATCGCTTGGGTCCAGGAGTTTGAGACCGGCCTGGGCAACATGGTGAAATACCATCTCTACAAAAAATACAAAAGTTAGCTGGGCATGATGGCGCACAACTGTAATCCCAGCTACTTAGGAGGCTGAGGTGGAAGGATAGCGTAAGCTGGGAGGTCAAAGCTGCAGTGAGCTATGATGGTGTCACTGCATTCCAGCTTGGGTGACAGAATGAAACCCTGTCTCAAAAAAAATTTTTTTAAAACAATTATCTATAGTAAAAAAAACTGGCCGTAGGCCGGGCGTGGTGGCTCAGGACTGTAATCCCAGCACTTTGGGAGGCCAAGTCGGGTGGATCACTTGAGGTCAGGAGTTCGAAACCAGCCTGGCCAACATCGAAAAACCCTGTCTCTACTAAAAATACAAAAATTAGCTGGACATGGTGGTGGGAGCCTGTAATCCCAGCTGCTAGGGAGGCTGAGGCAGGAGAATCGCTTGAATCCAGGAGGTGGAGGTTGCAATGAGTCAAGGTTGCAGCACTGCACTCCAGTGTGGGCAACAGAGCAAGACTCTGTCTCAAATTAAGAAAAAAAAAAAAAAAGAAAGAAAGAAAAAAAAGGCCAGACACAGTGGCTCACACCTGTAATCCCAGCACTTTGGGAAACCCAGGTGGGTGGATCATGAGGTCAGGAGATCGAGATGATCCTGGCCAACATGGTGAAACCCTGTCTCTAGTAAAAAATACAAAAATTAGCTAGGCGTGGTGGCACAAGCCTGTATTCCCAGCTACTTGGGAGAATAGTTTGAACCCCAGAGTCAGAGGTTGCAGTGAGCTGAGATTGTACCACTGCACATTCTAGCCTGGCGACAGAGTAAGACTCCATCTCAAAACAAACAAAAAATCTGTACCCAAACAACACATTTCCCAGTTTTTAAAACAATATAATATCTGGAAAAGAATGAAATCTGTCAGTGTTTTTTTTTTTTTTTTTTTAAGAGATGGGGTTTCACCATGTTAGCCAAAATGGTCTCAATGATCCACCTGCCTCGGCCTCCCAAAGTGCTGGGTTTACAGGCATGAGCCACCATGCACTAATTTTTGTATTTTCTGTAGAGATGGGGATTCACCAGGTTGCCCAGGCTGGTCTCAAACTCCTGGACTCAAGCAATCTGCCCAGAGAATTATAACATTTATATCTACTATAAACTTAGCCCACACATTAGATAAAGAAAACATTCTGTTAACATCACAGAATGTTCAGACTACAATTTATAAACCAAAGAGTCTACAAATAAAGAATTCACACCCTGTTTGATTCCGGAAGTTCAGAGTTTGGCAAGGAGGGGTTGAAATTCCGTATTTTAGAATACCATCAAGGAAATTGCTGATATTCCTTGTCACTTTGCTCATAGTGAGAGTGCAGAGAATTTTTTGTTTTTCATTCCACCCCACTCCTTTTTTTTTTTTTTTTTTTTGAGATGGAGTTTTGCTCTTGTTACCCAGGCTGGAGTGCAATGGTGCGATGTCAGCTCACCGCAACCTCCACCTCCTAGGTTCAGGCAATTCTCCTCAGCCTCAGCCTCCTGAGTAGCTGGGATTACAGGCACGCGCCACAATGCCCAGCGAATTTTTTGTATTTTTAGTAGAGACGGGGTTTCACCATGTTGACCAGGATGGTCTCGATCTCTTGACCTGGTGATCCACCCGCCTCGGCCTCCCAAAGTGCTGGGATTACAGGCTTGAGCCACCACGCCCAGCCCATTTTCCCATCTTCTTTCGGCCACCCACTTCTACTTCCCCTTGACCACTCTCTTCACAGGAACTAAGAGCAGAAGAGGAGAGAGAGTGGTTTGGAGAAGATTCAAGGTCATTCAACTGTCTTCATTTCTCTCTCAGGTCCAGGACACAGAAGTACATAAAAAATAACACAGCACATAGGACATTTTGGTTGTGGATTAGTCCTAAACAAATACACAGGGCTTAGCTGGCTGCAGTGGGTCATGCCTATAATCCTAGCACTTTGGGAGGGTGAGGTGAGCAGATTGCTTAAGCCGGTGAGTTTGAGATGAGCCTGGGCAACATGGTGAAACCCTGTCTCTACAAAAAATTAGCCAAGCGTGGTGGTGCATGCCTGTAGTTCCAGCTAGCTAGGAGGCTGAGGTGGGAGGATTGCCTGAGCCCAGGAGGTTGAGGGTATAGTGAGCTGTAACTGTGCCACTGCACTCCAGC